AAAAAAAAAAAAAAAAGATCCTGTTGGTACTTTGACTGGGAATGCATTTGATTTATAGATTAATTTAAGAAAAAAATTGTTATCTTTATATTTTGTGACTTCCTAGCTAAAGATTATGTCTTTCCTTTTTTCAAGCCTTTTTTTTTTCTTTTCCTAGTTTACCAGTAGAGTTAAAAGTTCTCTTATGTAGGCCCTGCAATTTCTTATTGATTTTATTCCTAGTTATTTATTTTTTGGTTGCTGTTTTAAATGGGAACTGTTACTCCATTGTATTTTCTAACTGGTTATTGCATATATACAGCATTTCCATAGCCAATCCTTTCCTGAGAGCTGACACCGTGATAACACTTTGGAATTGAAAAGCAAAGCCACGTCAAAAGACAGCTGCAGCCCTACTTGGCTGTTCTGTTCTTTCAGGAAATGTACTGACCTTGTATGACTGTATCCCCTGAGGTAGCATCAAAAGAAATTCTTCTAGGACATTTAAGAGTTTCTTGGAGATGTCAGGATATCCACTGGGGTCCTGAAGTAAAGATGCTTTTATTATTTGAATTGAAATTATTCATTGCAAAGATATAGTTGATTAATAATTTTTAAAAAAAAATCTACATTGCTACATGGTCTTCAGACTCTTATTTTCATTGCTTTGGGGAAGTTNAGAAATTCTTCTAGGACATTTAAGAGTTTCTTGGAGATGTCAGGATATCCACTGGGGTCCTTGAAGTAAAGATGCTTTTATTATTTGAATTGAAATTATTCATTGCAAAGATATAGTTGATTAATAATTTTTTTAAAAAAAATCTACATTGCTACATGGTCTTCAGACTCTTATTTTCATTGCTTTGGGGAAGTTAACATGAACTAGAGGAGCTCTTTGGGTTTCCTCCTATAAGGGACCTTAGAAAAATAACTTGAAAATAGACCATGGTCGGGTCAGGTCAACACGTGGTGTTCCTTTAAGTTTCCCAGCCTGAGAGAGGCTGGAAGCCCTGGAATAAACCCTCTTCCCCAGGGCATCCTAAAGACAAATACATCCCTACCCTCATCTTTAACTGCTGCACAACATCTACATAGAATTTGAAGAGGAAACTGATCATCAGAGTTCTTCGGGATTCCACCATTCCTCCAGGGGCAGACTCCTGAAGGGCAATTTCATTTGGAACCAGCCTGAAAGCTTCATTTAACATTCCTTCATCCTGATGTCCAGATCATAAAAAGGAAACCCAACCAATTTAGTATAGTACGGGATAAACAGGTGTGTAATATTTATCAGAAAATTAATTTTAAAAATATAAAAAGCAACTTAAAAAAAACCAGCAAAAAAACAAGTAACCCAATTAAAAAATGGGCAAAGGAGTTGAATAGGCATTTCTCAAAGGAAGATATAGGAATAGCCAACAGACACATGAAAAAATGCTCAACATCACTCAGCATTCAGGAAATGCAAATCAAAACCACTTTGAGATAATATCC